CGAATTACTCACCGACATTGACATGGTGATGTTTGTGGAACGTGGTATACGCGGTGGTTTAAGTCAATGTTCGCATAGATACGCGCAAGCTAATAACAAGTACAATGCATCTTCGTACGATCCTTCGAAACCTTCGACGTATCTCATGTACTTCGATGTGAACAATCTGTACGATTGGGCGATGTCCGAATCCTTAGCGTACGGAGAATTTCAATGGATCGACGACATCGAGCGCTTTGACATAATGTCAGTGTCGTCAGACTCCGTTGTCTAGAGGTCGATCTTGCGTATTCGCAAAACGTACACGATGCTCATGCAGACCTTCTATTTTGCCCCAATCGCGAACGGCCTTCCGAAAAACGGAATGACAAACTATTGGCCACTCTTTACGATAAGGAGCGCTATATCGTGCACTATCGCAATTTACAACAATGTATTCAGCATGGATTACAAGTAAAAAAAATTCATCGAATATTTCAATTCGCACAATCCCCATGGCTTCGTGAATATATTGAACTTAATACGAGATTTAGAATACTCGCGAACAACGATTTTGAGAAAAATCTTTACAAATTGATGAATAATGCGATATTTGGAAAAACGATGGAGAACGTATGCGATCATGTTGACGTTCGGCTCATAACGCGTTGGGATGGGAGACATGGTCCGGAAGCGATGATAGCGAAACCGAATTTTCACAGTAGAAGTGTTTTTTCTGAAAATCTGATCGCTGTTGAATTGCGCAAACTCGAGGTGAAATTAAACCGATATACGTAGGTATGTGCATTCTTGAGATATCTAAGTTGCGTCTGTATGAATTTCACTATGAATACATGATACCATTGTATCGCGATAGATGTAAGATTATGTACACGGACACGGACAGCTTGATTTATCTTTTAGAATGTAAGAATGTGTACGAGAACATTAAACATGATATCGCGAGATTCGACACGAGGGATTATCCTGAGAGAAATGCGTATGATGTTCCATGGGCTAACAATAAAATACCCGGTTTGATGAAACATGAAAATAATGGTGCGATTGTGACGGAATTCATAGAACTCAGAGCGAAGATGTACGCATTGAGAATGATCGGAAAGAGCGATTCGAAGAGAATAAAGGGTATCAAGAAAAAGGTAATCGCGAAAACGATCACTTTCGACGATTATGCGAGATGTTTGAACGATGCGACGGTACAGTCGAGACGTCAGTCGTGCATACGATCGACGTTGCACGAAGTTTACACAGTGTCTGATTTGAAGCTCGCTCTTAGTCCATATGATGACAAGCGGTATGTCGTACCCGAATCGGTCGCTACTCTACCTTGGGCACATTATAAAATACCTCTGTAGTTTTTTTAGTTTTTTTTATTGTAATAAATAAAAAGAAAATTACAATACATTCGTTTTATCTATCCAAGAATTATGTGAATTGTTCATTCCTAACCATTTCACGAACACCTCGTTTCCTCGTTTGCGTAGTATGGTATTTTTTCCACGAGATAAACGTCCGGATTAGAGACTCGCAATTCGTGTTCGTAGAATCCAGCAGCTATCGGCTTTCCTTGATAATCTTTCAATAGATACGTTGCGGGATTCGTACGTTGTGTTTTAACGATGTAAAAAATCTCGGTGGACCAATTGGGTGTATAACCCTTTTCAAAAATTGTCTTGAATTTACTAATACGTACTGGATCGCCTACCTTGAATGTCGTTGGAGCGGCAATTTTTATATGACTGTATACCGTCGACAGGAGTCGTTTTGCAATGACGGGGGTTACGTCTATCGGTCGTATCCCAATAGTTCGATGTTTACGATGATTATAATCTGACAATAGACGCGGTAGCTCGTCGATCCATTTGTACGAGTCGTTTAACGTGAATGTTTTCCACATGTTATTCTTGAGTGTACTGTTGAATCGTTCCACTACCGACGCTTTCACCGAATACGAAATAATGATTTATGTTGTATCTTTTCACAATTTTTTTCTGCACGGTAGTGTTGTAAAATTCCTTTCCTTGATCTGTCTGCAGGTTTCGTGGGTATTGTTCGTCCTTGCGAAATATTTTGGATAACGCTGCGGCTACGTCGCTTCCGTTCTTGCTCTTGAGCGGTAGAGCCTATGCGTATTTACTCAAAACATCAATAACGGTTAAAATGTAATTGTAACCTTTGTTGAATCGCATGTAGGGACGCATCTCGACTACGTCGGCTTGCCACAAATCATCGCGGTCGTGCACCACGACGCGACGACGCGGAAAATTTCTTCGCGCGGGCGCGTGGTTCTTTCACAAATTTTTGTTTCCCGACACTCATCTATCTCTCTCTCTCTTTGTTGTGACAGGAAACGAGCCTCGAGCGTATCTTTTAAAGCAGGTACCCTCGATTCAGATGCCGAATCTTGTTCTCGTTACGCACTTTCTTTGATATTGTCGATGTAGATTACCTACACCGCGATACAGTATCTGCATATCGTTAGACTCTTTCCGAAGCGCGAGTACTATCGTATCTCTCTCCCTATCGTTTTTAAACAATCTCTCTAGCGTATCCTTCGTGTCATTCGCTTGTTGACGCAGATCCGTTACATTTCGATTTAGACGCTGACTCTCATCAGACACTTTCTGAAGCGCGAGTACGATCGTATCTCTCTCTAACGTCTCTTTCGTCACTATGATATTCATTCGTTAACACAGATCAGTTACTCCTCGATGAATCTCATCAGACACTCTTGTCGATAGCGCGTTTACACCTTTCGAGACTTCCTTCACGTTGTTTCGCACTTTTTTCACATCGTTCGACATATTTTTCTGCGTATCCTGAAGCGCGTGCACGATCATATCTCTCTCGGTCGTTTTAAACGATTTCTCCAATGTCTCGTTGGTCATTTTTCATTCGTATCGTTATATCTCGATTCAAATGCTGAATCTCGTTAGACATTCTCGTCACATTCTTTTCCACGTTTCTTCGTACCTTCTCCACATGCACCGCTATGCACTTCTTGTACATCTCTCCTTATCATTCTAAATGATTCTTCGATCTCGTTTCGCGTATCTCGAAGCGTACGCTCGACGTAGCTTTTGTTTACCACATCGGTGTCAAATTCCGGCGCGGCAACGTGTTCTATTTTTCGCTCCTTCGCGTCATAATGATCCGGATTCAGACAAAGCCCATTGTCGTGCACCTAATTTCGTAAAGATTCTATCGACGATCGCGATTTTTCGATTTCGTTTCCCCTCATAGATATACCAAATTTATTCACAGACATCGTATCGAGTTCGCGCGAATTTGATCACTGTCGCGATTTTCGTCACAGCAATTTAATTTATAATTAACCCAGCTTCGCGAAGTTCTTCGATTATCGACAATATTTCGT